CGGCCGTAGCCACCGACCTCCGAGCCGGCACAGCATGTCAACGCCAGGACGAAAGCCGGCCGAAGCCGCCACTTCCAGGCAAGGCAGAGACGGCCGTCTGGCGTCGCGTTCGATATGACGCGAGCGATAGGGAAGTTCCGCCCCGACTCCCGCAGAAAGGGCGTGCGCGACCCGGCGTGGGCCACAGCCACCGGCTTTCCCAGGCAAGGCGGTGACGGACGTCGTGCGTCGCTCTGAATATAAGCGATACGGAAGTCCCGCCCTTCCCACGCGGCACTGGGAGGGCCTACTGCGCACAGGCGAAGCTTTCCCGCGACTGGGGGGCGGAGTTACTTGGAGGCGGAACGGGCATTGCAGGGCCAGGGGCGGGGCCTGCTTCCTCCGGCCGGTCGCGGCGTCTGCCTGCGAAGGCGGTTCTCGGGCGTCGGCCTTTCCATTCTTTTTAACCAGAGCGAATCGTGTCGCCGGCGGTGGGATTAGGCTTGGGGGGCGGTCACCAGAAGCCGGTACCCTACTTCTCTACGTGTTTCCGATGGCTTCCGCTGGAGATGACGGCGGATTGCAGTGCTCAAGAGTCAACGCGTTGTTTACGTGCTTGCTTGGAAAGCTGGGCGCTTCCGGCTGACGAGCGCTACCGGCATCTTTAGACCCGGTCGCCCCGCGGGGGCTCATACCTGTCATCCCAACACTTTGGGAGGCCGAGACGAGAGGATTACCAGCGTTCAGGGATTCGAGACCAGCCTGGGACCTTGGCTAGATCTCGTCTCTACAATAAATTAAAAAATTAGCGAGGCGTGGTGGCGCACGCCAGTGATTCCAGCTACTTGGGAGGCCGAGGTGAAGGGATCGCCTGATCCTAGCAGGTCGAGGCTGGGGTGACCTGAGCGTGCCCCTGCACTCCAGCCTGGACCACAGAGTGAGACTCTCACTCAAAAATAAATAAATAAATAAGCCCAGGCATAGTTCTGTCTGTGGTATTGGAGCTCATGGGCATGTCCGATCTGGTATTTCCAACCCCACCTGCACCCTGGATTTCCTTGGATGATTTATCTTCCAATATAAATAACAGCAAACATCTAATTAAGGGCAAATCGCTGTCTCCTGATGCGAAAGGCTCACCATGGGTGGAATCTGCACCAGATTGATACAGAGACCCGCTAACGTCTGTCCATATTGCCACAGCCCCTAAGAGAAGGGCATGTTAAGGATTCAAGGGGTCCCGCACATTCTTGAGCACATCACTGACAGTCCCTTTGTCTTTGGTACCCTCCCAGTAGGTAGCTTCAAGGGATCCTTGACTCTCCTGCCGACTACGCCCAATGATGTAAATCCCTATTTACTCCCTTTCTTAATAGTTATAGGTTTGAACAATAGAGTATCAATGTAATCCTAAATCTTGTGATTTGTATAACTTTTGCATCAACGTAATCATAAGTTTTGTGATTTGTATAACTTTTGCAATGCATGATTGACACAGAGACCTATGATATCTGTCAATATTGTCACAGCCCCTAGACAAGGGCTTGGCAAGGATTCTAGTGCTCCTGTACATTCCTGAACAAAATTCCTTAGAGCTAATAAAAGGCGCACTTCCCCTTATCTCCTGTGCATTCCCTGTAAGTGGCATTGGGGAATCCTTGCCTTCCCTGTAGACAATGCCCAATCAATTGGAAGATCGAGTCCCCATTTACTCCCTTGTTATGTGTAGTGATAAGTTTTGTGATTTGTGCAACTTTTGTAGCAATGTAATCATGAGTTTTGTGACTTATACAGCTTTTGCATAACGCATGATGTCTTAGGCCTTGTGAATTCCCTTTACTTTATGGCAAGCTTGATTAATGCTTCTTCTGCTGGGCCCTACTGATAAAAGCTGTGAGATGCCTCTGATACCTGGCCCCAAGAAATCTGAACCGAAAAATGTCGTTATCGATGAATGTGGCTAATGTATAAGTACCAATGATTCTGTACTTACAAAAATAAACGGTAGGCTGGACTCAGTGGCTCAGCCTATAATCCCGCGCTTTGGGAGGCCGAGGTGAGTGGATTGCCTGAGCCTGCGGGTTCGAGACCCACCAGGGCAACTTGGCGAGACCTCATCTCTACAATAAATCAAAAAATCAGCCGGGCGTGGTAGCGCGTGCCTGTCATTCCGGCTACTCGGAAGGCTGAGACGGAAGGATCGCCGGAGCCCAGCAGGTCGAGGCTGCGGTGGCTGGGAGCGGCCACTGCACTCCAGTCTGGGCGACTGAGTGAGACTCCAACTCAAAAAAAACCCCCCAAAAACGGTAAAGGACTGGAGAGGGAGCAGAGCCATTTTAGAAAGACCTGGAGTCTGGCTCTGCTCCCTGGATTCTAGCTCAGGATAAACTTGTTTCTACCAGTTCCCTGCCCCTTTGATTTATTGGGATCCAGGGGAGCAGTTGAGTGTTACTGGGACTATAACATAACGTCTTAGGCCTTGTAAACTTCCTTTACTCTAAATGTCACTATCTAAATGTAAAATGCAGCTGTAACAAGTTCTGTACAATGCTCTGCTGGTCACGTGGCTAATGTATAGGTACCAACAGCTCTGAACTATAAAAGTGGACTGCGAGGCCTGAAGGTTGGGCAGAACCATATTCGAAAGACCTCTAGTCTGGCTCTGTTCCCTAGATTCGAACTCAGAAATAAAATAAACTTCTTTCTATGAGTTCCCTGTCCCTTAACTTATCTATCAAAGGAGACCAGTTGAGTGTTACTTGGACTTTAATAAGACTTTACCCGCACCCTACGTGGGCTTTACAGAGCCTGAATGGCGGTACTAGATGTTTTCTGGTTAAATGGAGTAAGTCCAATATACAGGAAATACATGCTTTTTAGTTTTGTGTTCCTGGCAACAGCAGATAAATTGGAATGATATGGAGGAGTTTCCTCACAGAAGGGTCAACCTAGACCTAGACGCCAAACTGTATTGTGAGGAGTAACACGATATTTTTAAAGAAGCAGCTTCCCGCAAATGCTGGGTGATGCAAACTGCAGCCACCGGTCTCTCCACCTCACCGTGCCCCTCATCAAGGGCACCTGATACCTTTATTTGGTTTCTGGAAATCATCTTCCTTTCAAATGATTAATAAATCCATATACAAATTTTAAAAATGTGACATCACAATATATGCTATATAGTTTTTCTAAACAAAAAGCCAACCCATCAATTTTCCTATTACAGTCATTAAGTTAAAAAAAGAAACAACCAGCTGCTACTGACTACTGCCTTAAAGTGGAAAAGAACTGTTTTCAGTTTTTGTTGATATTGTTTGGAGACAGTATTACTCTGCTGAGTTGTAGTGGCGAGGTCATAGCTCACTGCAGCCTGGAACTCCTGGGCTCAGCTTCAGCCTCCCAAAGCGGTAGGGTTACAGGTGTGAGCCAGGCACCCAGACTCAAATCCAGTTTTAAATAGAAACGTCGAAGGGAATGTTTTTTATGTTGCTGCATTCCCTTTCTTGCAGAGAACTGATGACATAGGGTGTTGGTCATTCTACAGTGGCATTTAGCCCAGGAACCCTAACTTGGATATTCAGGAGAGAGGAAAGTTGTCTGAAAAAAACAAAGCCCTAAATATCCATGTGGGCCAGGCGCAGTGGCTCACGCCTGCTGTCTCAGTAGTTGAGCCCTTGAGTACTTGAGGGGATTGCTTGAACCCAGGAGTTTGAGACCAGCCTGGGCAACATATAAAAAAATGAAAAAGTTAGCCGGGCATTGTGGTGCCTTGAAGTCTCAGATGCCTGGGAGACCAAAGCATAAGGATGGCCTGAGCCCAGGAATTCAAGGCTGTGGTGAGCTGTGATCCTGCCACTGCACTCCAGCCTAGGCAACACAGTGAGACCTTTAAAAAAAAAAAATCACAAAACATACAAGAAAATCAAGCATCATGGCCGGGTGTGGTGGTTCACACCTATAATCCTAGCACTTTGGGAGGCCGAGGTGAGAGGCCTGTTTGAGCCTATGGGTTCAAGACCAGCCTGGGCAAATTGGCGAGACCTCATCTCTACAATAAATCAAAATATTAGCCAGGCATACACCTATAGTTCCAGCTACTTGGAAGGCTGAGACGGAAGGATTGCCTGAACTCAGCAGGTCGAGGCTGTGAGCGTGCCACTGTACTCCAGCCTGGGTGACAGAGTGAGATTCCAACCCTGACCCCCCCAAAAAAAGAAAGTAAAAGAAAATAAAGCATCACGAATGAAAGCCAGCCCAAACTACAAATGACAGAATCATGCCCACAAAGATTTGAGATATTGAAATTGCCAAATACGGCTGGGGCAGGGACTCGCGCCTGTCATCACCCCAGTCTTCGGGAGGTCCAGGTGAGAGGACTGCCAGAGTCTAGGAGTTTGAGACCAGCCTGGGAAACGTCATGAGATCTCGTCTCTATAATTAAAAAAAAAAAAAAAAAAAAGCCAGGTATGGTGGCCTCGTCTCTACGATAATTAAAAAAAAAATTAGCCAGGCACATGGTGGATTATGCGTGAGCCACCATGCCCAGCTATGTTACCTTTTTTTTTTTTTATTGGAGTCTCACTCTGTCACCCAGACTGGAGTGCACTGGCCGCTCCCGGTCACCGCAGTCTCGACCTGCTGGGCTCCGGCGATCCTTCCAAGTAGACGTTACCATTTTAAAAAAGTATTCTTGACCAGGCCCAGTGGCTCAAGCCTGCAATCCTAGCACTTTTGGAGGCTGAAGCAAAAGGATTGTCTGAGCCCAGGCATTCAAGGCCAGCCTGGGCAACTTGGCCAGACCTCATCTCTACGATAAACTAAAAAAATTAAGCCGGGCTCGGTGTCTCAGCCTGTAATCCCACGCCTTGGGAGGTTGAGGTGAGTGGAATGACTGAGCCTATGGATTCGAGACCTGCCTGGGCAACTTGGCGAGACCTCATCTCTACAATAAGTCAAAAATTAGCCAGGCGTGGTAGTGTGCGCCTGTAGTTCCAGCTACTTGGAAGGCTGAGGCAGAAGGATCAGCAGAGCCCAGCAGGTCGAGGCTGCGGTGGCCGGGAGCGGCCACTGCACTCCAGTCTGGGCAACAGAGTGAGACTCCAACTCAAAAAAAAGTATTCTTTTATGGTTGAATATTGTGATGATCTGAATACAATTTATGAATACTTAATTTCTGCTAATTTCACATATATATATTTAAACACGTTTCTTAATACATTTAATGGGGATGACTAGAATTTGCTATCTACTTGGTAGAAAATGTTGGAGGCAGTGTTTTAAATTATAAAGCCCAATTCACAAATAGAGTGGTATCACTATTACATACATACTGTTCATCCAACATTATATGTTGTATCTTTTGAGTTTCAGAGTATAATATCAAATGACTGTACAAATATTGAGTCAACCTAACAATTTCCAAATGAACTTGTGCAACTTAACATATTTTTAAAAGTTCAACACTGATAATTACCTTATTACTGCCTTTAATATCAATATGTCACACAGTTCATTTTCTCAATTTTAATGTCTTAAAAACAGTGATCATGGACCTGGATGTTTGTGTCCTCCTAAAATTCATATGAAACCTTAATCCCCAATGCAATAATATTTAGAGGTGGGGTCTTTGGGGGGGTAATTAGATCATAAGGGCAGAGATCTCATGATTTGGATTAATGCCTGCTAAGAATCAC